ATCACGACATTAAATTTTAAGGATGAAAATAACTAAAATCTTTTGCACCATTATAACCATTATACGCATTCCTTAACGTGGTGAGAGTGGTGTACAGGGATACTATCGACATTTTCAGACGCTCTCAGCTTGGAAAATTTAACAGTAACGATTTTGTTCTGCACAATCAGCTAAGAGTTTTAAGGGAAAAAAAATAAATACATTATTTTTCACTTTTCTGACCGGAGTAATTGTCCCAAAAAGTAAAAGGGTTTTCCGCCAATAGAAAATACTACTACCCTCAGCTCCCTCAAGGGGTTGTCGTAAGGGGCGGACGATACGGGCAACTGCCTGGGGCACCATTTTGCAGAATTTGCTGTATTGTTTTTCGGAAGAGGGTGTTGTGTTACATGGAACGAAAACTTAAGACGGCCTTGCTACTAACTCCACTCACCAACCCCCACTGTTACTGGATTACATAATAATTATATCACATATCCCTAAAGCTTTCTATTTTGACCGTGTCACCATCACCAAAGCTATCGAAATTCACTATGCACATAATTAATACTAACGCTATTTCCAGGCATAGTCATACTAAAGTTACTATGAATACACACTACTTTAGCATATTGACTATTTTCATCCTCAAAATCCGTATTTTACACTATCAAAACAATAATCTTAATTCCTCCTCCCACTACGCATTTATAAACTAGCATAAATAAAAAAAACTTGATTCCTTCTCCCATTTTGCATTTTACGCTTTCACAACCAAACAATAATCTAAATTTCTCTTACCACTCCACATTTTTGAACTATCAGAACCAAAATACCGACATTCATTCTTCCTACCACTCCGCATTTGTACAAAATTATAACCAAAATATCAATCTTCATCCCTCCTACCACTCCGCATTTGTACACAATCATAACCAAACAAGCTTCATTCCTCCTACCACTCCACATTTGTACACAATCAAAACCAGTCTTCATCCCTCCTACCACTCCGCATTTGTACACAAGCATAACCAAACAATCTTTATTCATTCCTCCTACCACTTCACATTTGTACACAATCATAATCAAACAATCTTCATTCCTCCTACCACTCCACATTTGTACATAATCATAACCAATCTTCATCCCTCCTACCACTCCGCATTTGTACACAAGCATAACCAAACAATCTTCATTCCTCCTACCACTTCACATTTGTACACAATCATAATCAAACAATCTTCATTCCTCCTACCACTCCACATTTGTACACAATCATAACCAATATTCATCCCTCCTACCACTCCGCATTTGTACACAAGCATAACCAAACAATCTTCATTCCTCCTACCACTTCACATTTGTACACAATCATAACCAAACAATCTTCATTCCTCCTACCACTTCACATTTGTACGCAATCATAACCAAACAATCTTCATTCCTCCTACCACTCCACATTTGTACACAATCATAACCAATCTTCATTCATCCTACCACTCCGCATTTGTACACAAGCATAACCAAACAATCTTCATTCCTCCTGCCACTCAGCATTTGTACACTGTCATAACAAGACAATCTTTATTTCCCCCCCACACTCCGCATTTTTATACTATCATAACCAAACAACCTTCATTCCTCCTACCAGTCGGAAATTTGTACACTATTATAACCAAAATACCCATCTTTATTCCTCCTACCACTCGGCATTTGTATAATATCATAACAAAACAATATTCCTCCTACCTCTCCACATTTATACACTATAATAACCAAATAATCCTCGTTCCTCCTACGACTCCGCATTTGTACACTATCATAACCTAAATAATCTTAATTTCTCGGCACGTTCTTCTCCACATAATACAAACACTATCACCACGAAACCAGTGACGAAAACTGTAAAAGGATAAAAACTAAAACTACTGCTGCTACTATCTGTAACGTCCATGGTCTTATGACTAATATGAAGTAATACTACTTTTATCATTATTAGTTCTGTGATGCAACAATAACTAACACTACTACCACTGCTACTTAAGGTAATGCTGATGTTGCCATTGCAATCATACAGAATACTACTTTTATTATTACTTGCTTAATTTCCATAACAACATTAACAGTAATTGTCACAACAACTACTACTACTACTGCTGCTGCTGCTGCTACTGTTGTTTAATCTAATATTTATACTACTGCTACCACTAAGCACATGATGCTCTGTTACTATAGTAACTATATCAATCATCACTATTGCTGGTGCAACTTCTATTCCCACCCACCCCTTTTTACTCCCTCGTATATAACGTTAGTGGTACTAGGCGATCGTTCTGCACTGCACTGAGATGATGTTCCAACTGGGACGGTCTATAATTTTTTTTTACTGGGTGTGGTTTATATAAAAATTAGACTTTGCAGGACATTTACCCTTTGTGCCTTTATCATTGCTTTGTATGGTTATTTAGGTACCTAAACGTAATCGGCAATATACAGCCAAGATTGTGTTGATGTACCGTTAAACCACATACATACATACATACATACATACATACATACATACATACATACATACATACATACATACATACATACATACATACATACATACATACATACATACATACATACATACATACATACATACATACATACATACATACTTCGTATGGTTATTTAGGTACCGAAACGTAATCGGCAATATACAGCCAAGATTGTGTTGATGTGCCGTTTGACCACATACATACATACATACATACATACATACATACATACATACATACATACATACATACATACATACATACATACATACATACATACATACATACATACATACATACATACATACATACATACATACATACATACATTACGCCAGTGTTTGTACACTAAGTAACGGGATCCCCCGTCGTTGAGTGGTCTAAAGCACTCGTCTTCTCTGATCACAACCATCTCACCTATGTCCGCTTGGGTTCTAGTCTCGGCCAATTTAGGTATGTGAGAAAGTTGCGGGTAGCTTCCCGTGGGTCGGTGGTTCTTACCAGGGTTTTACCAGGTTCTTTGTACAACAATCATATTGGCAGCCATATATAGCATATCTTGCGCTGAGAAATGGCCTTAAAACCCAAAACAACAATTACCCAAATAATCATTTCTGATTTCCTCTCGTTGCAATGTGATCATTCATGTCTTCTCAGTTGGAATGTCTTGTGTTTGTCTCAAGGTATGACTCGCTAATACGATTTATAAATTTAGCTCGTGCCACGTTAAACTGAATTTTACTTTTCAAACGGGACCAAGTAAACAATGCTACACCATGCTCAAATTACTGGTCTTCTACTTTAACTTTGAGGGTGACTTGATGGCACCGATTAATAATATATCCAGTCTCATGCAACAACGGATATCGTTAGCTTCACTAGACAGCCCAAAACATTCTGAACGAGCAACAATGTTTGCACTAACCAGAAAGAAACGGCTTTCATATTAGCGCCAACTGATATGTTTGTGCAGATATCCCTGTTCTGTTGATTGTTTATGTAGAGAAGGGGTTTCAAACTCAAACCGCCCCGAGAGGGCATTTTCGATGGCCAGCTGGCCGCACCACCTTTGCTATCATGACACCATGTGACGCCAGTCATTTTGCGGACCAAAGGATACTACTTGGCGGGCCGCGTGTTTGAGAATAATGTGGTTCTATACCTAATAATAAACCTGAATAATCCTCCTGAGAGTTTTTTTTTTTTTAAAAATCCAACCAAAATACAATGTAGTCGACACACTTCAGATTGTAATGTGGCTTAATAATAATAATAATAATAATAATAATAATAATAATAATAATAATAATAATAATAATAATAATGATGATGATGATGATGATGATGATGATGATGATGATGATGATGACAACGACGATAATAATAATAATAATAATAATAATAATAATAATAATAATAATAATAATAATAATAATAATAATAATAATAATAATATAATAACAGCAACTATAATTATAATGAAAGTTAGCAATATTTTTGACTGGATGAAAGCCTCAGAGATTGATCTGACATTATTAAATCAAAGAGCTGTTAACGAGTTCAAGTCAAACAAGATGATAACCAATTTGTGAATTATCTAGTCATTTAAAAGTGTACAACATGAATTGGTCTGTCATTTTGATTGAGGACATTCACAAGTTCTCACGAATCACATAAAAAGCTGACATTCTAATAAATTTTCAGCAAATTTTTAAGATCTGTATCGCTGAATGAAGCTCGTTTGTGAACATGAATTAGGAGTAATTGATAGCAAAGTCTGGTAATCAGTGTTACACATAAAACTAGTACATATTCAACATAGAAATAATGGGTACTAATGCGCCGAAATAACGAAAGTAAATATCAATACGCGTGTTTTTGTTTATTGGGGATATGTGTGCATATTCGAAGACATGTAGCATGATGTCCCACCCAGTCACATTATCCTCACAGCGTGCCGACCAGTCCTAATACAAACCTGTTTATGCTGAGCGCCTAGCGAGGCAGCTGTTAGTACCATTTTTTAAAAATAAGTCTTTGGTATGATTCGACGGGAATTCAAACCTGAAACTTCCCGCATAAAAGAGGTCTCTCTAACCACTACCGGAGCGGTCTGTATTTACTGGTATTTCACTACATGTTTAGTACAATGACATTTGTGGCAAAGTATAATTTGTAAAATATTCCATTCCTATCATTTATTTTGGTTTTTACATCGAATGAAAAGGTGTGTGTGTGTGTGTGTGATTTAGATTTTTAACGTAACTTTTAACAATTTTTCAGTCATATCGCTACGATGTCTGCAGTGTGGCAGTTTATAGTGATGTCTAGCACTGGGGCATCATGTCACAGACTTGTAGCATGATGTCCCACCCAGTCACATTATCCTGTCACCAGGCCGACAGTCCTAACACTAAACTCTTAATGCTGAGCGTCAAGCGAAGCAGCTGATAGTACCAATTTTGTAAGTATTTGGTATGATTTGGCCGGGGCTCGAACCCACGACCTCCCGTATCCGAGGCCGACGTTCTAATCACTAGGCCACCGGAGCGGTGTCGAATGAAAACGTAGCTCGAACTAAATTAACGGGTAACAACTGAAGGAAAGCAACACATTAAGGGATCAGAAAAGTATAAGACAGTTTCATAGTTTTATTCCACACCATATTACGAAGGGCACAAACACCCGTGAAGATACTAAAATTCACGCAAACACGACAAAATAGTTTAAAAAGCTATATGCCGCCATTACAAGCAGTAAAACGAGTAACTGTGCGTATTTACACATGCAAAGCTAATAGCCCACAGACTGTAATGCAACACTTGAAAACTATAGATACGCAGGTAACAAATAAAGACGTTACAGCCGAGTCGGAAAAGTCAGTAACAATAGTTTCTACAGGGAAAACTGTCCCCGTATTGACGAAGACAGTCTCCTAAAAATAAGTAAAGATAAATTCGTACTTCTGGTATAATATTTGAAAACCGAACATTGAACTCTTAAAAGTCCATCAAAATTTCATAAAATTGGAAATAAATGTGATTTTCGATAGTTTTAGCTTACTTCTAGTTAGCATTGTTTAAAATTGATATGCTTTTCTTGTTGGTCTGATTAAAATTTAGTTCTTAGGATGATTCGTGACAACGGGATCAGTTCAATTGATCCAATTGTCTATCGTTCATGATCAACTATTAAATTTTAGACCATAGCAGCCTACAGTCTGGTTCAAATTTCCATATAAACAATGTAGAATTTTAACACAAAACCTACCCTGTCAACCAAATCTGTCATAAATCACTTACCAGGTCCCAAACTTACATCTAACAATCCTTTAGGCTCCAAAAGTTCTAGTATGCAGTCATCATTTTGACTGTTTTCATAGTTGCAAAGGACAATTTTTTTATAGTCGTAAGCTGTTATCAGTAATAGCCAATTAACACTGAAAATACCGTTCCATCGATGTGAACTTGTGATTATTAAAGCCTAGAATGTACCTAACACACATCCTTGTTGAATGCTTTGCAACGTGTCGATTAAAACGGCAATTTCTTTTTCTCGATTGTAACAGGTCTGGTAGCAATGCGACTCTTAGTAAATAATGAAGACAAATATCGATCAAAATCTATTGTCTCTTTCCTCTCGAAAATCACTTGAATGTAATTTTGTACACATACTTATCCGTAAACATTATTGATGAGTGAGGTATGTTAGCCAGCGCTTTACTGTGCACCCTCCTATTAAGAACGTATGTCTGTATGTAAGAGTGTTTCAGTACACACGACCATAACGACTGTAGCTTCATTTAAAAATCTAATACGTTAGCCAAAATATATTCGTTGCTAAAATAAGCACATACGGTCAGCGATTTAATAATGAAACTGACAAGCATTTTGATCAGCTGATGTTCAATAGCGAAATAGACAACCACATTTTATTCATTGTATTTGGTACGGGCTTTTCTTTATTTCGATTAATGCATGTAAATATCTTTCGACAACGGCTTAGTTGCTTAAGTGTTACGCGCTATCGATCTAACCCTACACTTGAGTTACCTCAGAGAATAAGAGCATTATGTATTTATCCATATAAGCTAGTTGGTATCTATTTTAAGGGACAGAAATGCACTGTTAGGAAACGTGTTCATAAATGTGTTATTACTCATATCGAGGGAAATCATCGTTTGCATTTTGTTAAATTAAAAGTTGTTTATAATATACAGCATGTTTGTTAGTGTAAGGCAGAATGCAGTTAAGTTATATTTCAGCTGATGATGGGGAAGGTGTAAAATTTGTATATTTGCGTTTTGAAAGGTATACTTACAGATGTGTTGCTCATATTTTCATAATATCTTGTTTTTTATTAGGCCCAAACTCAAATGGGTGTTAGTTGATATCCATCAGGCAGAAAATGTGATTCAAGTAAATCAACATGAATAATTTAAAGAGTAGAGTGAACACACACACACACACACACACACACACACACACACACACACACACACACACTAAAACCCCTCAAAACCGGAATCCTTGAGACAAAGATTTTATTTAATTTTGAGAGTTTTGCTGTTTATTAAAGGTATTGCATACATATAAAAATATTTACGTAGTTGTACACGCATATCATCACCGATACGAGCCTTAAATTTTAAAGCGCAAGAACTTCAGTGTTGCTCATTTGATTTGGGAGTGATTTTTTGTGTGTACGTGTGTGAAAAATAGAAAGCAATTAAGTGACTTGAGCTGATGGTTTTGACATGTTGACATGCTAGGGAAGACAGACATTTATAGACTTTGATGATTCAGACGTAATTTTTTCTTATGTTTGTTCGTCTGTTTGTTTGTCTGATTATTTGAATGGTTGCATACCTGTGAGAAAATTATGCTATTGTCAGTTACAGATTTTTAACAGATTATATACAAGACAGCCTTCCATAATTCAGTTTTGTATACTTTCAGTTGTTACGAGCAGATATTGCTTGTTTCGGTAAAATCTTTGGAAATCATGTATATATGAAACAAATCCGTTTGATGATTCGTGTTACACAACGAGTATCAAACATTTTGTTCAACAGACTTTATTTTATCAAGCAAAAATTATAATTAAAAAAAGAATTTAAATGAATCTGTGTAAATTATACATTTTTAAAAGTCAACAAACTGGTACGGACATTTTAATATGCTTTTTAATAATTGCATTTGATGTTGTAAAAGTTTGGAAGAATACTAAAATTGCAGGACTAGCGGTAGTTTTGTGGAACTTGTGTATTATGTGGTCAAATATGTTGCCTTTTGATCACAATATAGTTGGGGATTTTTTAATTCAAAATATTGCACATGAAAAAAACCACGAGCATATTCTTTGTTGACTGTAAACACGTACTATTTATTGTATAATGAGGGCATGATAACTGATGAAGATTCCAACACTTGAATTAAATTACATGAAGCACTTGTGGTGCAATGTGACTGCGAAATTAGCGAGGAATGAAAATGACTGATAACTTTAAAAATTGCACACAAAAAAGTTTTCAAATTGCAGAGCATGTCATAAATTTTAATATTTTTTTTACAAATTATTAAATTATATGTATGCAAAATAATAAAAACAAAATCACGCTGCAGGCAATGATCATTTTACAAGCATTTCTCCTCTGTCGAATTGGACGAAGACATTAATTTAACATTTGTGTAACCTGATGTCGTCAAGTATAATGTCACACAAAAAGAGCTGTTCCGTTGTGTAAAAGTCATTCCTTAAAAGGCTAATTATACCATATTTGATTACAATGAAGGAAAAAAGACGTATCACGTTCACCGAGAATTTTTACATCAATATTTTCTTCCTATCAATAAATCTTATCTTCACAGTGTCAACTTTAGTATAAAAGTAGGATCTGGCACTATATATTATATTCTTGAAAGGAAAATTCAAACTGCATTTTTGAAAATGATTCTGGAGAACAGCAATCCAGGGAAAGATACAGTGCCGGATTACCAAATAAGCAGAGTAGGCACCGGCCTATGGGCCACTCGCCTTTTAAGGAGCCCGCAACAACGGGTCAAAATAATATTGAATTTATTTAATCTTGACGTATTAGGAGATATTTTGCGGGGGTGTGTAGGTGGGAGAGGGGCTAGATTTCGACTGCATAGAGTCCTCAACAGGGTTTAATCCTGCACTGGGAAAATAGCGGCTGCTGTCAATAATTGCATGCAATCGCAGTTCAGCAGGAAATTGGATACTTCCCCTTATCGAGCCCTCCTGGACAATCTTTTGAAGCACGGAAACGAAGCCAAGAACAAACATCTGGAGGGGTTCCTTGGTATGGGAACCTGACATTTTAGATATGTCCAACGAAACAGAGTGCTATGCTAGAAGCTGACGATCCTCTCAGTGTTGGATTTAACGGCCTTCGAAAGAAAATCAAACAAGGACGCTGTTTTAATAACGATGGATTGTTTGCATTTGAGCATGTGGTTGCAGAACAAGTATTTATTGAATGGTGTCCATTTATACCCGAGACTGAATCTAAGAAGTACCGCGTTCCGTTTGATGGCTAAAGCTAGCGAGAACAAAAGCATCATTGAAGAACCTTGACTTTACGTGCGTCGTGTGAAAGTCGTACCTATAGTGAGAAACGACATCAGTCAAACTCTGAGCAGAACGACAGCCAATTATCCTCTAAAATGCGTCAACATGAAAACTTTAACCATTGCATCTTGACACCAATGCAAGTTCGATGGTCCTGTTTGCCAGGAACGTCTACTTAAATGTTTGTTCACTATCAGAAATGCCTCAAAGGAGCCATTGGTAAAAAGAAAAACTTCGGAGTTCCATCACATCAAGGAATATTGCACTATAACCTGAATATGTGTACCAGACCTTTTGAACTTTGCTCAGATACATACGTTGATATCTTGCTTAACACTTTTGGTACCAACATGACAGGTACAAACAGCAGTCAGAGTCTTTGCAGGAGGATATGCTTTATGATTTCACTTAGGACCAAGGCAGCAACGCAAGACATTTCAATCCAATAAAATATTGTCAACTTCGTGACGAAAGTCAGTTTGCACCAGCTCTGGCAAACACATTGAACATCATATTGCATACTGAAATTTGATAATACTATAGAAATCAACACTTCGAGAGAAGTGATCCGAGATTATTAGTAAAGCCTGAACACGAAGAACATTTGAAGGTAGGCGGTGAAGATGCTTTCCTTATCCAAAATAAGAAGACATAACTTCAATTGTGATGTCAAGATAGCCAGAACTAGAAAACTATTTAGTCTCCTGTTTTGCTGAACTGCTAAGCTGACTAAAAGAATCACAAATCTGGCCAGAAGACATACTTATGGATGCCAGATCGATAGATATACAGGTAAAACCCGTTATAACGCATTCGCTATAACGTTTTTCCGTTTATAACGCGATGGCAGCAGGGTGTCCATTCTTTGATTTAAGTTGACATTTTTAGCATTATAAAAATTGCTCTTGGAAAAGCCAATTATTCCTATCCCTAGTAGATTCTTTAATCTCAGCAATG